CACAGAACGACCGGAAGCGAAACAAACAAACGCGCAGGACATGGAAGGTTTCGTCGCCGTCACCTCCAGAAAAGGGAGAAGAAAAGCACGCGAGGAACGCCAAACATCTAAACCACTACAAGGTGTAGAACGTCCCCAGGTAGTGTACTTATACATTACTAGTTGTCACCCTGACACAGAGGAAGAAGACATAGAAGACTTCCTTACCAAAGAATTTGAAAACATATCAAACGTAAAAGCATACAAAACAAACATGACACACCAGTATTATTCTAGCTTCACTGTAACTATTAGAGGCAAAGACATACACCCTGATCTCTTCACAAATTCAAATGTTTTCCCCAAAAATGTTAAAGTATTTTTAAACAAAAACAAGTACAAGGACGATCAGCTGGTTTGACACACACACACCGAGACACCGAGACACCGCCGTCAGCAAGACCGACGGTCAGATCACATATGCTAAAAATAGAACACATCAACGCACAATCTCTCCTCGGTCATCTTGACGAGATAGAAATGCTTATATTGGAGAGAAATCTTGATATATTATGTATTAGTGAATCATGGCTTTACCAAGATATGTCAAGCGCATTCATCAAAATACCAAATTTCAATGTTTATAGATGCGATGCAGGGCGTGGTGGAGGAGTCTGCATTTATGTACGAGATACTCTCAAAACAACTGAGATATCCGCTACAACTGCAAGGGGTGCAGATGTAGAGGATATTTGGGTTAACGTACAATGCAATATGCTTCCGTCATTCATTGTAGGCGCAACCTATAGGCATCCCCATGGTTCCTCTGAATCTTTTGATTATATAGAAAAAGTTTTTAGAGAAATGTTACTTAAAAAGAAACCTCTTTTCATACTGGGTGATTTAAATGATGATTTAAATAAACCTAATGCAAAACTATCTAAAATAATTAGGAAAAACAAATTAGAACAAATAGTCAAAAAACCTACAAGGGTCACAGAATACACTTCATCATTAATTGATGTAATAATAACAAACAGAGCTGACCTCATTCACCATACAAACGTCATTCCATGCCATGTTGCCGATCACGAACTCATAACAGTGACGCTAAATTTAAAGAAATCAAAAAGACCACCAGCCATAAAAAGTTTCCGAGAATTAACCAACTACGACCCTCAGTCATTATGCCAACAAATAATTGCCAAGGAAGCAACTCTTTTAGAAATATTGCAAACAGATAATGTAGACAAACAGGTAAATGTCTTTACGGAAGTGATTAATGACAGCATAGATGCCATCGCTCCATTTGTTACAAAAACTGTTAGACGTCCTCCTGCTCCATGGATAAACAGCGACATCAAGAGAGCAATAACAGATAGAAATAGCGTTCATAAAGCTCTCAAAAATGACAGACACAACATGGGACTCCAAAATAACTACAAACAAAAAAAGAGAAATGTCAAATCACTTATACAAGGAGCCAAAACTGATTATTTTAGAAATAGGTTAACAACTTGCAAAAAAGACTCTGCTAAAACATGGAAAATCATTAAAACACTTGTACCAAACCAAAAACATCACAGAGATCATCTAAACACCAGTATTAATGCAAATGAATTTAACGATTTTTTCGCTAAAATTGGACATCTCACATATAAACAAACATATGCTTCCAGATCTCAGCAAAAGGCAGGTAGGATAAGGCCATTGGCAAATATTTTCAGACCAAAACCTATAAAATTTGAAACAGTAATCTTAACAATAAAACACCTGCGTCAAACAAATGCTGTGGGAGCAGATGGTATTGCTTTTCGCTTTATTAGAGACAGTCTACCTGCAATAGCCTACTATCTAACGGTAATTATTAACACATCCCTAGTCACTGGTGATTTCCCATCGCTTTGGAAACATGGCATAATAACACCAGTTTTCAAATCCGGAGACACAGACGAAGTCAATAACTATCGCCCTATAACCATACTGCCTATACTGTCTAAAGTTCTAGAAAAAATCGTAGCAGACCAATTGGCATTATTCCTGGAGACAAATGACATACTATCTAATTCACAACATGGATTCAGAAGTAAATTGTCTACTGAAACAGCATTATTACAGATCACAAATAAAATCTATGAGAACATAGACAACAATCAAATAAACTTGCTAACCTTGTGCGATTTATCCAAGGCTTTTGACAGTGTCAACCACGAAATCCTCCTTCGTAAATTAATATATCACAACATCGATACGTACTGGTTCAGAAGTTATCTAAGCAACAGAAGCCAATCAGTCAAAATTCGCGAGGAAATATCAACAAAACAGATCGTCTCTTTCGGTGTTCCACAAGGATCAATATTAGGCCCAATTTTATTTACAATATTCGTAAATGACTTAACACCCATAGCCCAAAACTGCTTTCTTGTTCAATACGCCGATGATTCCCAATTTCTCCAGTGATTCAGTAAACAACTTAGATGAATTAATAAAAAAGACCCAGGAGACATTGACACAAATAAAA